ATGCGCGGAGGGCTTCCCTAGGAGGAGAGAAGCCAACTCCCTCTACACAATTAACGATATTAATTTGTTCATAGGGAGAAAAAATTAACATATCGCCGCCTTCACAGTTCACAATGTGTTCCCCAGAACCGAATCTCTGGGTACGAAGATTCTGCTCCCGGTCTGCTGCCACAGACAAAATCCCCTGCTTTGCATTAAATTGGAGGAGAATGGACAAGAAGTATAAGGGGAAAAAGTTAGAATTATAAAACATGAGGGGAGCCAATGTTGCAATTTTTTTCTTTTGGCCTTAGCCTTAATTTTCTAATCAGAAAAAAAAAAAGAAACAAAAAATTATATGTATTGTAATCTTTTCATCATTTTATATTTTTATCCAATCCATCCAAAACTTACCTTTGAATCATCCTAGGTAAGTCAAGTTTACTTTATAGCCTTATATCATCAAAAATTTTGGTTTCTTGAAGACTTTTGACTGAGGGTATTCATGATGCTTGATTACTTAGTATGCCTGCCCAAATTTAGTTATTTTTTGTCCAGCCCGACTTAAAAAAAGAGCTTGAAATGTTCTGTACATGTTTGGGCTAGACAATATGCGGGCAGGGTTGGGCAGTGGGCAAGTCATGCAGCCCAACCTGTTTAGCCCAGCCCAATTTTTTTAATTATTATTATTTTTAATTTAGAGTTCATACTTATTGAAAGTGATAGGGAATTGGTTACGGTCATAGTCAGTTTCTACAGTGCCAATTCAAACCTTTTTTTTTTTTAGTTTAAAGTTCGAACTTTGAAACATATAAATTCTCTCCTACATGGCATGAGATGTATTAGCTATGCTAGTTTCTACAGTGGCTTTTGAGTTTGCATTTAGTACTGGTGGACATGTAGTTGATCAATATAGGAGCTCTATCTCCTAAAATGATGGAAGCACTGATTTGTGGACAAAATTGGTTGCAAAGTGGGCAATTTCTCTCTGAGTTGGTTGATAAGCTTCAAGAGTTTGATAACTTTGATGAGATAGAAAATATCATTCAACTTACAAGTAATATTTTTTTTCTAAAGTTTAATAATTCACACATGCACATGTACACCCCTTACTTTAGTTTTTATATTAATGTAATTATTTTTTGGTCTTCAGATGCAACATTTGGACAGGAGAATGCAACTGCTAGTGCTAATTGAAGTGTTTCTTTAGAAGTAGTGTTTTTGCTAATTTTTCTGTTAATTTCTTGCTAACTTTTCTATGACTTCTTGCTTATTTTTTGGCAAACTTATATATTATTGTTGTTAATTCTCTCATATTTTGGTTCCCATTTTTCTTTAAATTTTCATGTATGTTCTTGCAATTTTTCTGTCTAGTTATGACATATTTTTCCTCTTCCATTTATGCAGGTTGGGAATTGGGAAGAGGCTTTTGTGAATTAGAGCCTACGCTTTGAAATTGTTGTTTCTCATATGATGCTCCAAGCTTTTGTTATTTTGAATTATAGCTATTATTTTAGATTGAATTATGGATAATTTGATATTGTGCCAAGACTTGTGGTAGTTTTAGATTTCAAGTTAAATGTTGAATTATGGATAATTGAATATTGTGGTTGTTATTGTGGATTTATGGTTTATGGCTTTATGAATGCTATTTTGAGTTAATGTATAGGGTTATTATTGTTAATTTGTGATAGTTTTATTTTGAAATGATGAAAAGGGTTGTGATTTTATGGGCAGGGTGGTCTAAAATTGCCCAACCAGCTCTGCTTAGCCCAAACTAATAGGGCATTTGCCGGCAGGACTCGGTATCGGGCTACATTTTGCAACCTATTCATTCTTTGGGTTGAGCCTTGGGCAGGGTCCTGCTCAGTCCGGCCGGCCCATATGCACCCCTATTTTTGACTACTATAAATTAATATCATAATCTACAACCTATCAATTGAGAGTTCTTTCGCTTTCTTGCTTTTTGATTTCTTGCATTTTTTATTGTTCATTGTTTTTTCTCGCATTCTAGCTCCTTTCCTTGCTTTTCACTCAGTTTCTCTCCATTCTCACTCATGCTCTCTTATGTCTTTGATCTCCAAAAACACGTTTTACTTTGTAATTTTCAATTTTGATGTGAAGTTTGACATGCAGTTGAGTTGGCAGACAATTTGTGCCATGTCATATCACTCATAAAGGATAATAAACTTTCACTTATGATAGAGATTGAAATTTTAGATGTCTCTGAAACTTTGAGGACCGTGTCATATCAAATCATAGCTAAAGGGCTATGGTTAGTCAAGTTAAAACTTGAGGGGTAAAAAATTAATTTTTTTCAATATAAAGCTATATAATATTAAAATTGCACAACTAATTTCTTCTTTGTCAACAACAACAACAACAAGAAGTTGGTGTCACACATACATGATACTCCCTTTGATCTTATTTATAGGATAGAAAGAGAGTTTTTTGATTCTATTTATAAGTCACATCATTAAATTTTTATCATAAATTTTTTATTTTAGTTTCCATTGAATATTAGAGAGAGAAAATATATTATTAAAATATGTATATTTAATAGGAGTAAAGTTGAGAACTTATTAAATTTTAAGACAGACTTAATAAGTTTTAAGGTTTTCCTTGATATTAGTAAAATATGTTAAAAATGACTTATAAATAGGATTAGAGGAATACACACTTTTAAGAATCAAACTTGGAATAATGTTAAGAACCCAAACCATTATTCCTCTTATTTTATTTATAGGTCACTTCTAATATATTTCACCAGTACTAAGGAAAAACTTTAGAACTCATTAACTTTGTCTTAAAATTTAATAAGTTCTCAACTTTACCCTTATTAAATATACATATTTCAATAATATATTTTCTCTTTCTAACATTTAATGGAGGGTAAAAGAGAAAATTTTTGATTATAATTTAATGACATAACTTATAAATAGAATTAAAAAAATTCTTCTCTCTCTGCCCTATAAATAGGACCAGAGAGAGTGTGAAAAAACAACATTTGGGAGAGAATAATCTTTTAAATAGTGCTCATATTTTTTGAGTGATTAATCTTACTATTGTTAGTTGTGGAGATGTCTTGGATAACCAAATCATAATAATGATGATGGAAAATTAATTTGCGGGTCCTTCTAGTTTTCATTGATATTAAATTAAGTCCCTGTAATTTATGTTGTTTTAATCAAGCTCTTATAATTTAATTGGCTAAATATATTAGTCTTTGAATATTAACATTATTAATGAATGATTAACTTTTTCAAAACAAAAACACTTTTAAAATTTGTAAAAAAAATTAATTTAATACTTTTAACTGAAAAAGTAAAACGAAAATTTGATTTTATATAATGTTTACATTTTTTATTAATTTTTAATGAAAATTATATATATATATATATCTATATAAGTTATTTAGAAAAAATAACCTAATTATATAAATTTTAAGTTATAAAAAAATATGTAATTAATTTAAAATTTATATAATCTTTTAATTAAAAAATAAAAGTTCTTAATTTTATTTTTTCAAAAGAAAAGACTCAAGGATTTTAATCCATAGGGATTACTGTATTTAATTGATCAAACTATGGGGCTTTAATTAAAACAAAATAAACTAAAGGGACCAAATTTAAAATAAAAAAACTAGAAGGACAGAAATTAATTTTCTCCAAATAATTATGATGATGATGATGATGATAATTGACACATGTCATTTAGCATGCTTTCTTTGACTCCAATCCATATATAGATAAAGATAAAGACAGCACACACTTGCTATATGAATATGATGACTCCGAATAATTTGCTATAAGTTTATAGGTGCCCATGTGGCGTGTCCAGGGCACGGTTTTGATACCCTTTTTCCTGGTAGCTTTTTTGAGTAAGGTGGTTTTATAGTTGAACTTCTATATTTTTCATAAAAAAAAATGATAATTAGAGTGATTTTAGAGGAAACAAAAGAAGATATAGAACTATGAAGATAAACTACCCATGCCATTTAATTGCACTATATATGAAGATAAACGGGAGATTAGTCTTATAGTTGTTGACTATAAAATACCATAAAAAAAACTAAAAAAGAAAAATAAAAGGAGGGAAAACAAATTGATATAAAGAGATGGAAGTGTGCGTTAGGCTCAATTTTAGAGTAGAAGAAAATGAAAAAGTGAGATGGGGGAAGGAGGATGAAAGTAATTGTGTAACAACGTCAATCATATTATGTCATTCCATTATCGACTCTCTAAATGGGGCGTAAAAAAAATTAGTTTAGAATAGTTAAGAATGGCACGAAATGTCACCTTAAACCATTCCATTTTTTTAAAAAAAAAGTTTTCACAAGCAATGATATAATACTTTTAGCTATTCCAATCCATTTTATTCCATTAAAAAAAAAAACTCTCAAACACTATCATAATTATGAGTTTTAATGACTTGTTCACCTTTATCGTACTCTTAAACACGAGATCTCATGAAGATGAATGTGTTTGAGTACATTGAAAAATGATGTGTTATTGAAGTAGGGGAAGAAGACATGAAGGGAAGGAATGGGGAAGAGGAAGGTGATAGGGAAAGAGGCCAGACCCAAATTATTGAAAGTATAAGCATTTTGGGACATTTAATTTGGATTCTCCTTTCCCCACAACTTGCAATGATGCATCACGTGTGCTCTTTTTTGGTTATTTTGGTTAATTTGATTATCTTTTTTGAGCTTGATGTGACTCCCCTTTCATTACTTTTCATCTGTATGATTATATTATATTTTCATATATATATATAATATAATGCTTAATTAATAGTGGGAACTCAATTTAATTAATTCTCCACATGATATGCAGAACCCAGTGCATGTGTATCCACTATTAACGTCGACAAAATAGTGAATACGTCATACTAAGGAATCTCATCGTTTTATTCCCCTTTTTATAAACACTGATTGCACGTTTTTCTTTTCTTTTCTTTTGTTTTTTATGACTTATACCAACTTCTTCGACTTAAAAAATAAAAAATATATAAATCATGTTATGCGTTTATGTATATATAACTCTTGCGCTTTTGATGAAATCCACAGCAGCTCTAAAGGTTTTGGTCTGAGACCAAGTGCTAATAATGGCTATTATCATTCCCAGTCTAAAACCATTTTGTTTCTGCAAAATGCTCTCTCCACCACAAAAAAAAAACAATCAGTGTTCAGCGTTCATTGTAATACTCTTTGCCGATCTGCAAACTATCAACCTTCAAGCTGGCGTTATGAACGTATCCAGTCAATCTCAAGTGAATATGGGGTACATATTTATTCTTTCTAATAATCTTTTCTTTTCCTTCACTTATGTTTTCTTATATATGTATGTATGTATGTCAGTCAGTTAAAGGATATTTTTACCCTTCAACTATTCACTTAAAGACACTTGGTTTTCTAAACTTTTATGTGGTACAATTTACTCTTTCAACTTTTAAAAATAATACATTTGGTACTCTATGAGTAAAAAAAATTAATTTTAACCTTGAATTGACCCAAAACAATTTCAAAAAAGAATCTCAAAAATTATAAAAAAAATGACCCATAAAATTATAGATAAGTACCTTATAAAAAATTAATATCAATGAGGTCCTTTTTTAGTTTTTTTTTGCAATTTTTAGGTTTTTTTCGAAATTTTTTTAGGTTAACTAATAGTTAAAGTTAACTTTAATTTTTGATGATAGGGTATCTAATCATCATTTTTACAAGGTGAAGGAAAATTACATTATATGAAAATTTAAATATCAGACGTTTTTGAATAAATAATTGTAGGGCAAAAATGCCCTTTAATCTTGTGTGTGTGTGTGTTATTTCAATATTCCAAGCTTACGAGGATAATGTAATATGTTTTGTTATGTAGAAAGAATCATATGTAGAAGAAAGAGATGGGCTGAGGGAGCAAGTTAGAATGATGATTTCCCAACTCACAAATGATTTGGAGAAACTTGAATTCATCGACTTGTTGCAAAAGCTGGGAGTGTCTGACCATTTCGTCATTGAAATAAGAAACATATTGCAACATGTGATTGCCAAAAGTAAACACATGTTAAAAACCAAGAATAACTTGCACAGAAGTGCTCTTCAGTTCAGAATCTTAAGGCAACATGGATATGATGTGTCATCTGGTATGTTCTGAATTAGACTGTAATTTTTTTTTATTTTTTGTTTGTAGCACAGTGATATAAAGTAATGAAAGGTGTATACACTAAAAAAAAAAAAAAAAAGACTTGAGGAAGCGCTTCTTCTTAATTAGCCCACGGGGGTGATGAACCCTACTTGACATATCTATCCAACCCATATGCCTTTGGCATATTTAGTTACGATAATTTTGGGAAACTTTCAAAAGCCAGCTAAAACTTTTTGGGTAATTATTTTTTTTCACTCCAGATAATGTTTGTTTGCAATGTTTCCATTCACCAAAAAGCTAATCTGGGTTACTTTTATTTTTATTCAACTTTAAGTTGGTGTGTATCGATTAAATTTGCAAAACTTAAGTTTTCATATATAAACTGATCTTTGCAAACTAAAGTTACTGTATATTTTTAATTTTTAGATACTTTATTTCTTGATGTGATTTATGTTTTGATAAATAGGTACCGGAACCAAAAGCCAAAAGCCAAAAAAATATATTAATTTCTATCCTAACCTTAATTAATTTGAGTCAAAAGATATTTTCCTACAACTTTTATACAAACAAGATTTTTTTGATCCCAGTTAACTTTCGGGACCCAAACGTCAGTTTGATATATAGCCTTAATTTTCAATGGTCAAAGTTGGTCTGAGTCACTTTCTAAATAATTTCATTTTATTTTTTTTAATAAAATGTATCCAAAGTATACTATTTTTTTTTGTTATAATAACTAACTTTTGGCATGTGGATTTTTGATAAATAAACTTTTGACAAACAGTAAACCAGACATATATAATATATCTCTCCTTGCAACATATACATTGCAGCTCCAACGGAGAAAAAACGATACTAAATGAAAATGTACTACTGATTTTTAGTTTTGACTAATCAATAATTTCATAACATGTCGTATCATGCATTTGTCTTCCAGATGTTTTCAAAAGTTTTCAGGATGACAAAAGGAATTTTGTCTGGGATGATATCAAGGGGATACTATCATTGTATGAAGCATCGTTTCATTCAATGGAAGGTGAAACTATACTTGAGGAAGCAAGAGATTTTTGCAGTATTCATTTGAAACAATTTCTGAAGGAGAACCAGCAAGACAGTGAGATGTCAATAATGATAAGTCATGCACTAGAGCTTCCCCTACACTGGAGGATACCAAGACTTGAGGCCCCATGGTTCATTGACTTATACCAAAGAAGGAATGATGTGAACCTTTCATTGCTTAAATTTGCTCGTTTGGATTTCAATTTAGTCCAAGTCACCCATCAACAGGACTTAAAATACACATCAAGGTGCGTAAAGGAAACAAATCTAAAATGTCCTTTTCTTTTGGCCAAATTATATATATATATATATATATATATATAATAAATCTAACGGAAGTCATATTGCTCACATCCACTTGAGCTATATGACCACAACGACCACCAACAACCGGGACTACCTCCACGATTACCGACCACTACCACAACCATGACCACTACTACCATTACCACCCCATGCATTTGTGTGGTGTTTATTTTTTATTTTTTTTTATATTTCTATGTTCTGTGCTACTTTACTTAATTGTATGGTTCTAGATATCTAATAGTTTTCAGTCCCCATAGTTCTAGCTAATTTTCGTCAAGGTCTTCACAGCTTTTTTATCGAGGATTCAATCACGAGAATTATAGTTCTTTGATTAAAGTTCATAAAGATAACATGTTTGGTAATATGGCAAAGATGTGTCATTGATGTTTGGTAACAATAGGGACTATTAACCATAGTTGACTAAAATTTCAATATTGATTCCTTAATGAAAAACTACAGTGACAACGTTGACATAGGCAAATACTTTAGGGACTAAAACCATGTTTCCCAAAAAAAAAAAAAATTTAAGACTGCATAATGACATGTTTGAATGACTCCAAGAGGTCTATTATCATCTATAAGCTTTGTTTTTTAAAAACAAATATTGATAGTTTGGTGCTTTGTCTTGTGTATAAATTAAAAAATGAAGGTGGTGGAAAGAAGTGGGACTTGGAGGAAAGCTGACCTTTGCAAGGGACATGCCCACAGAAAATTTCTTTTGGGGTTTGGGAATGGCTTCCCAACCTGAGCTTTCATATTTTAGAAGAGAGATGACTAAGATCACTTCCTTCATAACCATAATTGACGATATTTATGATGCTTATGGAACATTGCAAGAACTTGAACTCTTCACTCATGTTGTTCACAGGTTAGCATTCTTAATTAATTTGTACATGCCAATGTATAATGTATTAATATATTTTGTTTATTGTAGATGGGATCTACATGCAATGGACATTCTTCCAAGTTATATGAAAATATGCTTTCTTGCACTGTATAACTCTGTCAATGAGGTAGCTTTTGCCATCCTCAAACACACAGGCTTCAACATCAATCCTTTCCTCAAGAAAGCGGTAATATCTATTCAATATTTGTTTCAATCATGTTCATATATAGGATTCTAATTAAATCTTAGGTAGCATTTGTATTGTTGAAGTTGGATGCGCATTTCAAATCTTATATTAAAATTTATGTATTTAAAATTCTTTGTTTGGATATTTTAAAAAAAAATGCAAATGAAAAAGAGAGATAAATTGTGGAGATTTGAAACAAGAATAAAAATTATAATTGATGAGTTCACCTATGTTCTTCAATCAATGAGAGATAACAAAATACACAAAAGTCATACAGGTATCAATATAAAAATACTAAGAAAATGAGATGTTTAAAGTGATTAAAATTTTAGATAATGACTAGAGCATAGAAAAAATTTAAAATCCCAAATCAATAAATATTTGTGTATCCAAATGAGGGATTGGATCTAAATCTAAATCTAAATCCAAACTCTTATTAATTTAAACACACCATTAAACATTTTCTAATATAATGTAGTGTGATGTTATGTTTACTTGTTTTCTAGTGGGGTGACCTCTGTCAATCTTATTTGATAGAGGCCAAGTGGTACTACAATGGTCACGTGCCAAGCATGCAAGAATATTTAGAAAATTCATGGATTTCAGTGGGAGGACCAGTGGCTCTTGTTCAAGGTTACTTTTTGATTCATCATGATTATTCAGTTATTAGACCCCAAGACTTGCAATATTTACAAGATCAACAAGAATATCCCAATAACATCATTCGGTTTTCTTCAACTATTGTACGACTTGCTAATGATCTTGCATCGTACAAGATTGGTGGTAATCGTGATGATGATGATGTTCCTAAGTCACTAAAATGCTACATGAATGAAACTGGAACTTCTGAAGAAGAGGCTTATGAGTATGTCCACACTTTGATGTGCCAAACATGGAAGAAGGTGAATGAAGCAGTGCATGACTCTGCATTCTCTCCAAGTTTCACGGAAATTGCTATGAACCTTGCAAGAATGGCTCAATATATGTACCAACATGGAGATGGTCATGGTGAAGATTCTCATATTAACCTTCGTATGATCTCGTTGCTTGGTCATCCTATTCCTATTATATCAACAAATTATTGATTTTGTTTCTTTTGCATTTATAGTCTTTATAATACATTTGTAGCTGCAATGAGCAAGTTAGAATGATGATATTGAATGAGAAGGAGATTTGAACTTGAGGAATATAATCATGCTTTAACTTAGTGTGTGTGTATTTCCTATTGTCATGTTTCTTATAATATAACATGCGCTATTTAAATCATTATTTTTTTTCACCTGGTATATTTTCTTTTTGATACATTATGAGAGTTTGAATTATTTACCTCTACTCACACCCCACTGCATTCTTATTGCCTGAGCTAAGCCTTAGATCTTTTTTTTTTTTACCCTAGTATCCTATAACTAAACGATAAGGGCTGATTTGGTTATCAGAATTTAGAATCTACAAGACTCATTACGTTTTCATTATTGGTCATTTTCCCATTAAACCTGACTTAATTTTAGCCAATAATTAAAATATAGTAGATAGTGCACTAAGTTTGATTTGACTTCAAATAATTTTCTTCATTTGTCCCTTTCCTTTATTAGATAAATAGATCATGTCGTATACATGTGGTGTTAAACCATATGTTTTGATAATAACAAAATCAAGATAAATGTGTTTGTTAATTGGCAGATCATATACATTAACATAATGACAAAACCTTCAAGAATATGAAGATCAAGATCTCCAATAAGAAAATATATCATTTTGTTTACTGTTGATATATGGCAACTGAAGAATAACTCAAATAATTTGAAATTTTGGCGATGTGTTTATTTAAAGAACAACATTAATTGAAATATCCTCATAGGTTTAAATGAAATTCAAAACTATGTATATTAATCAAATTCATTGTCTTCTCTCAATTTATAGGAGAGATGATTATAAAAAAAGACTTTGACTCTAACTAGAAATTCTGATCATAGTAGGACTCTTGACAAAACCTAATTCGAAAATCCTAATGGAGAAAACTTAACCTTAAAAACTCATAATAGGTTATTGGGGTATACAACAGTACTAACTTAAAAAAAAAAATTGAACGAATAAGTGTGAAAATACATTGAAAATAGAAAAACTGAAACGCAGTTAACATAAATGGATTCTAATTGGATTGGTCTTTATGTAATGCCTTTCATAAGCCCATGTAAGCTTTCGGTAGGTCTATTAGGACTCTTTTGAGTACTATTTATGCTCATAAATTTCCATGATCATTAGGATTTGTATTTGGGCTCAAATATGCAAGATTATGGTCCAATTTACCTCCTTAAATGTGTATTTACATATTGGGCCTTCAATGTATTGATTTGGACTCCTGCTGACTTTCTTCTACTTAAATGACTTGACTTAGGATAACTTAGTGACATAGCATGTTACTTAGGACTTTGTTTGCAACATATATTACCATTTAGGACCATTTTATTGCCATGTGAGACCATCTTGAATGTCACCTGGGATGACATCTTGGATGTCAGTTGGGTTGCCACTTAGAATCACGTCAATTGTAGATGGGATATACATGCAATGGGCATTCTTCCAACCCTCAAACACGCAGGCTTTAACGTCAATTCTTACCCTAAGAAAGTGGCGTGTTTGTGTGTATATAATACATACATACATATATATATATATATATAGTATATTCATTTCGTTGAAAATTTCAGAATATAATGTAATTATATGTTTGTATTGTTTCTAGAAGGGCGATATCTGCGAATGATATCTGATAGAGGAAAAGTGGTATACAACAATGGGCACGTGCAATTGTTCAAGATTACTTTTGATTATTCACATTCAATTAGGTCCCAGGACTTGGAGTATTTACAAGAATACCCCAATATTGTTCGCTTTTCTTCGACAATATCGTCCAATTTCTAATTATCTTGCATTGTACAGGATTGGTGATGATGTTTCAAAGTCAAGTAAGGGGGGTGAAGTTTCCAAATCACTAAAGGTCCGTCTTCGTTGCTAAATAGATGAAAATGTAATGGGTTGAAAAAATAAAATTAAATCACTCTTCTATAATACAATGCAAGAATAATTATTTCTTAAAAAATATTGTGAATCATAATTTTAATTTCATAAATTAAATACATTAATCTTTCTCTCTCTCTACATTTTGATCATTTTATTTTATTTTTATTTTTTCAATCTATTCTATTCTCTTTCAATCAAACAAGACCTAAAAATACTACATGAATGAAGTCACATGAGAAGGATTATGATCATGTGTACACTTTGATTGTGCCAATCTGAAGATGAAGAAGAATGAGCCATATAGAAGTCCCACCTCATCTAATTGACGAAACAAAACCGTCAAATATAAACAAACTTACAGCGAGGTAACGCTGGTCTGTGACCTCGTGGGGGCATTAAGGTGGTGGGATGAGAATGACCTTTCTGGCCTCGCTCCAGTTATGGATTTAGATGCTTCACCCATGAAAGTAAATTATTTTCATGAAGAGAAAATTATTACCAGGGCGACAGCACGGGTGTGTACGGCGAAAGCTATCTTAAGAGTGAGGCTGAGAAATGCTTGAACCGTTTTCTTTTTGAATGGAACAAAGCCTACGAAGCTAGGGTTTGGAGAAGGTCCCTGTGGTTCGCAGTAATTTGGATTACAAATTTGATAGGATTAAAGGTTTTTTT